TGTCTGCTTTTGTTCTTCCAACCAAATATACTAAATCGTCTTTTTTTCTTTTCTAATCATGTCACACACATCATTAGACAGTTCAAATGTCAAGGTACATTTAGCTTTTACCCAGATCATATTAACTCAGAGAACTCCCCATGATATTTTTAACTATTCCATTTACCTAGCACTAAGTTTTCCTACTGGTAATTATTTACTTATTCATTGTATTGTATCTCTTGCATATACCATAAGTTTAAGAGGAAAAAATTGTGTTCTTTTCTCTGTATTCCCTAAGAATTTACAGTAGGTCAATATTTATTCACTTGGCTTTTATTTAATAACTGTCATCTATGAAATAAGTATTGTGTTAAGCTTTGGAGYTATAGAAATATTCAAGACATACTCAGGTTGCTCTCATTCTGGCATTTTCTATGGTGAAGATGGGGAAAGTAAAAATTATAGATACAATGTCTCTAAAAATGAAAGCAAAATGTTCATTTAAGAAAGAATTGTTGGTTATGGTGGCCCATGCCTGTAATACCAGTGTCTTAGGAGGCTGAGGAAGGAGGATCATGAGTTCAAAGTCAGCCTCAGCAAAGCGAAGTGCTAAGCAACTCAGTGAGACCCTGTCTCTAAATAAAATACAAAATATGGCTAGGTATGGGACTCAATGGTCGAGTGCCCCTGAGTTAAATCCCCGATAATTCTCCCCTCACCCCACCCCCCAAAAAGCAAGAAATTGTTTTGCAGCAGAAAAAAAAGAATAAATGTTCCAAATAATTTTATTTATATAAAGATAAGTAGAGATTTCATGGATATAAGTATTTTAAATGTTAATAATCTAGGTAAGAGATGGTAAAAAACATAAAAATAGCAGTAAAAGAGGCCAAGGGATAAATTTGAAAAATATTTAGAAAGGCAAACTTTCAGAAATGAATTTAATAGAATGTAGCTGCAAAGAGTAAGTAGTCTAGGATGATGTCAAAACTCAAGAGACTTGTTTTAGTCAAGGGCACATGAATCTAAACAAGAGTCACTGGAGAGCTGTCAGTGTATTAGCCACTTGAAATTACTTTATTACACTGTCAAAGGAAAGCACTAAGCACCAAGAAACAMGGCAGCACATTTCAGTTGCAGTTGTACCTAACTGAGCCATAAAGATGCAAATGAGAATGCCAAGCTTCTTTTTCCACCATATACAGAGGACTAAGTGTGGTGGATGTTAGTCCTTGGCTTAATATATTTTTATCAAACCCTTCCTCTACCTGGTRAGCTAATTCATTCTTTTTCATAGTGAAAACATCTAAGCACAAAAGAAAATGTGTCTATCACTCACAGGTCTTCTTCGGAAAAAGATAGCACATCTCGTCAACCAATGCCTGGGATAGCTGCAGCCACATCTCAGGAATCCTCAGTATTTTCCTTCTAAAAGAGTTCATCCTGTTAAGTATTCTTGAATTTTCTGATCATAAAACTACCATGAAAGGAAGAAGATTGCGAATATAAAGCATTCATGAGCAAACCCTCAAGCTCACAACTTTACATAAGCTCACTGTTGGCCCTGCAAAGGTAAACATATGTGGACTTTTCCAATTTCCTTTTTAAATTATAAACCACATTAATTCAGGCATCCGAAAAAGAACATCTCCTTTCTCAGCCACACCTCTGAGCATTCCTTCTCCTACTACTGCCCAGGTATGCTAAGAGACATTTATTTCCTCAGTAAATGGCGGTAATGAGACTTTTCACAAGGGAAAATTTATGTGCAGAATTCTCTAGGTGCAGTCCTAAAGGGGGATGGGGAAGCGTTGGAGAGAGCCCATGTAGGGGACCCTTAATGCTGAAGGCACAAAGCCTGATGACGTCGCCCCCACGTGGCGACAAGAGGGGTTTACAATCGCCGTGGGAGGGGCGCTACCGGCAGCAGCTTTCTGGCTCCAGCCCTACAGCACCAAGATCTGTGCCTTGGAGCCAGGGTAAATCTTAAGAGCAGGCTGGGAAACTCCAAATGACCAAGGTCGGGAGCAGGGGCAGAGATGGGGTGAAGAGGGAAGAGAGTGATCTGTGAGGTGAAGGGGCTTCACCAGATTCAGAGATGACTGGTATTTCGGTTTTGTGGCCTCGCATTGATGMGTGGAAGACTGTCCTAAAGAAGTCAAGCTGTTTGAAACTCCTCACCTGTCTTAAAAGATAAATCATCCAATCACGTGACTCCCACTGATTCACAGCAGAATCTTGAAATCATTTCTAAATCTGGCCTTTCTGAGGTCAAATTAAGAACTTTAGTTTCTTATTAATGCTGTGAATATACAGTTATAGAAACTGTAAGTATTTCAATTAGAATGGGGTGGTTGACTCTTCTGGATTTTCTGTGCTTCTGGGATTGAAGAGCGAGAGATGTGACCCCAAATACATATTGTCATCGATCACTGGGTGGGAGACTACTTATAGAAATTATATTTTGAAGAGGGTACAGATAAGGAGTCAGGAGTTTTGAAAATATGCTAGATTTTCCAAGGAAGTTAGCCAACCAACAGTTCTTGAACTTCCTTAAGAAGTACACTTTTTTGTTAATGTTTGAAAGAAATAAGAGGACATTGAAATACAATCTCCTCTCAGAGGGAGATTATATAGTCCTAATGGTGAGATCATGATTATACTAAACTCTTAGAGAACAATACTGAACAGTCGAATTAGCTTTAAGATGTTGGCAGAAATTATATACTATATTTTATGTTCTTCAAATCTTCATCTCAAATGTTATGTGTCCCTGTTCTAGAATTATGAAACCATACACCATGCTCCTCCTGTAAACACCCCAGGAGAACCATGTCATCCTGTTCTTAAAACACCTACAAGAAAGGGCACGGTGCTTTTCCATCAGTAAGTATCAAGGATAAAATGGTAGCCAACTTTTCAACTACATATGAATGTGGGTTTAAAGGGATAAAATACAAACTTAATGGATGGGGGAAATTTTTCCTTGAAAATACTTTCACAAATAGTGCTGTTACTTTTATTGATGCAACAAAGAAGATTTTAAGTTGGATGGGCAAGGGTATGGGAGAGGAAAATGTCAAAGAGGAGAATGTGGTCTCTTGAACTGTGAAATTATTGTTATTATTATTACCCTAATGTAGCATATTGGGTGACTGAGCTATTAAAAATCTTTAGGCCTCATGTGCATGTTTTTCAATGAGCCATCAGGATAACAGGACAGAGCAACTTTGATGTTAGACTATTTTCCTAAAATTAGCCAAAACTAACCCTTGAACAATTGAATCTCTAATTGGATTATAATGCTTTTTCCCCCCAGTAATACCTAGAAGGAAGAATAGGTCACAAACACTTCTGATACTGGAAATTCAGAAAGCAAGTTTTCATGGAAATTTTTTATGAGCTCAGCAAAATCCAAACATTGCAAAGGATAATAATAAACAATAATTTCCATTTACTGAGGGTTATATGCATTGTATTATGTAAATATTGTAGTAGTTTTTCACATRTATTATGCCTTTCAATTTTCAAAACAAACCCGTAATGTGTTAATCTTATTTTCCATAATAGAGAACTGAWGCTCAGGGAGGATCTTTGAAACATGATGGTTCCCAAACACTGTACTTCTCACCAATAGTAAGCTACAGGTGGGTAGTAAGTAAGGTTATACAAAGGTAGAAGGTAAGGTTATACAAAGCTGAACCAGGAGGTTCAGCCGCAAGGCAGGTCTAGGCAATCTTCTCATAATTAACCAGTCTTGAATGATCAGTTTGGAAATATTTAACCAAAAAGTCAGTGYCCAAATTTTTGTTTGCTTGTTTTATTTACTGGGGATTTAATCCAGGGGTGCTTTATCRTTGACTCACATTCATACATAGCCTGTTTTAAAATTATTTTTATTTTGAGACAGTGTCTCACTAAGTTGCTGAGACTGGCTTTGAACTTGCGATCCTCCTGTCTAGGTTTCCTGAGTCACTGTGTACCTAAGAAATGGGGAGGGCTGGTTAAGGGAGAGGATCCTGCTTTTCTTAATCATGTTAAAAGCAAATGTGGAAACCAATGTCAAAACAACATCAAACAACTGGCAATGAAATTGGAGATTATTGGTATGAAAAATACCATTACAGAACATTGTTGATTGAGATTCACATACACAACCAGAATTTTCCCAAAGACATATAATATATTCTGCTGTAACTTCTCTTTCCAAATTCCTTTTTTCTACAGAGAAAGCAGGTATTTTATTCTGTCGTGAAAACCAACAGTAAGTGATTATTTATTCTAAGGTATATATTTTATTATGCCAAACATTTTTATGGTGCAAAGGGTAAAATAATCTATTAATGAGTTTATCCATAGTTTTTAACTGGGATAAATTTTAGRGGGATAAATTTTGAGAATGATCTCAACAAAACTTTCAAAGTTATGAAAGTAAATTATAGCACTGGTACACAAAAACAGTATCAATTTGCTATTTAAATTTTTTTACATTCATTCCGAAACATACACTTAATGCTCATGCTTGTGATTTTGAAATAATCATGGTAAAATGGGATATAAATCAAGACATAATTCTTTTAATTTAAAAATAAACAGCTATAAGATTAACAATGGGGAAGATCAGWGCTTCCCCAAGTGGTCTTGCCCCTTCATTTAAAAGACCTAGGATTTTCTGATACATTAATATAGGATACCTTTGGCAATGCACTGCTGAGTGTCTTTTAAAAGAGAATGAAAATATTAAACACCCTTTGTACCGACTCATGGATTAAGCAAGTTTGAAAAGGCTAGATTTTCAATTTGTTAATTGCACTTGTATTTTTCTATGTAAGGAAATTGGACAATACATGACAACAAATTTGACAATATGGCACTCTATGGCAGTTCTTGTCACACTGTTAATGAACCAGGGAATCTCTCTTCCTTGGTATAACTTGGGTCATTATATTGGTTTCCCTTTCTTAGTCCCATGATTTTTATTTTAATGAAGACCTTTGTTTGCTTTGACTTAGTTTCCAACAATGGCTTTACTTCCCGTGGCGCTGCTTCTCATTGCTATGCTGCTTCCATCTTTACCTGCTGAAGGAAAGGTAAGGTTAAAAAGAAAAACTACATGAGATGGCCAGCAGAAGGGACAAGAGTGTATAGTGTGGTACAGAGTGCTCATTGGTAGCTCAGAGCCCTTGACACAGTTATGGGTCRTGAAGGTTAGGAGGGGAAGGTTTGTTGTGCGAAGGTAGGCAGGTGAGGGTGGCAGCCCCCAGTSACAGATGACTATTGAATGCTGAAAAAGACAAGTTGTACTGAAAGTTCGAGATACTCATCAGAGATCAAAGATTTAGAACAAAAATAATCTCATTTTATATTAAAATACATAATTAAACTGTAGTATTTTAGATATTTAGTTAAACAATGGATTAGGTTCATAGGGCTATTGTAACAAATTACCACAAGTTTGGTGGCTTATAGGAACAGAAATTTATTTTCTCACAGTGTGGAGACCAGAGTCTAAAATCAAGGTATCTGCACAGCTGCAGTTCTGATGGAATATTTAGGAAAGATCTGTTCCATGCATTTCTCCTAGCTTCTAATGGCTTCTGCCAATTTTTTACATCCTTGACTTGTGGTCATATGACTCCAATCTCTGCCTCCACGTTCACATTACATTCTTTTCTCTGTGTGTCTCTCATAATGACATTTGTCATTGGACTTAGATTTGAATAATTCATAATGATCTCATCCCAAGATCCTTAACTTAATTATATCCACAAAGATATTTTTTCCAAATAAGATTACTTTCATGGATTCTGGAAATTAGGACATAGACGTATCTTTTTGCGGGGGACTACCACAGCATACAAATAAAATACATTAAAGTAATTTCATCTTTCTCCTTACATCTTTAATAGGGCCATCTACAACTAAAATTGCTTATGATGGCTTAAGGTACATTTTGAATGGACAGCATTGTCTATGGGTTTAAAAAGCTAATGATAGTCCTCCTGCCCCAAGATATTTTCTGATTTCCTTATTTTATTCCATTTGTATGTGGTCCCTACAAAAAAATAGCAATGCATTTATGTAGTTTAAATTGGAAAAAATTCTTCACATATGTCACCACACTTAATCATTATAATTATGATATAAAATTTGATAAGTTAAAAAAAAAAATGCCATACTGTTTTATGCATGAACAGTCATAGAATCAGTTTGTGAAAACTTCCTTAGTATGTGAAGTGTTGAATTCAAATCCTCTATTTCTAATTGGATCCTTTGCTTTAATGACCTTAGAAACAAGTTCAATCATCCTCTTCAAAAGAGGGGCTGTGTAGTTATAAGTTGTCCAGGAGACCACAGCTTTGGTCCATGCTGTCTGTTCTCATACCTTCAAGACCAGGACWCCTCAGACTGGAGAACTCTTTTGAGTTGGTTCAGACCTCACTTGACATTCAGAAATACAGACTATGTTTCAGTGATCTAATTGTCAGTCTGGAGAGAATCTGTTCCTCAACTAGGGCTTCAGTACAATAGTTTTCTTGTCTTATTTCTTTCTCAAACAGATTTTCTTTYATCACCCTTCCTAATGCCTTTAATATCTCTGATCTGTCTCTGGTCTTCATTTATTTATTTTTTTTAAGAGAGAGAGAATTTTTTTTTAATATTTTTTTTAGTTTTCGGTGAACACAACATCTTTGTTTGTATGTGGTGCTGAGGATTGAACCCGGGCCGCACACACTCCAGGCGAGCGTGCTACTGCTTGAGCCACATCCCCAGCCCTCTGGTCTTCATTTATAAAACCATTTTGCCTGTGGTATAACTAATGATCAGAAGCACGGTATATGGTCTTGTGGGCATGATTTTCCATACTATCTCAGGATGCTTGGAAAATGTATTCATCTTTCAAAAAACTACAATCCAGAATCATCTTTTGTGAAAACTTCCTCAACCTCAAGTAAGAATAGTAAATCCTTCCTTTCTATTTTATAGATCCCTCTCATAAAAATTTTGCTTATGTCATACTGTCTATACAATATGAACCCTTAAAGGTAGACAGCTATTATATTTTATTCATATTATTCTCAATACTTCACATATTTTCTTTCCCCTAACAAAGCTCTATTAGTACTCAGTTTGAAAAAAAAAAGTAACTTTCTTTTTCAGGAGAATTATTACCTACAAAGCAAGATGGTATAAGAAGCAGAAAATAAGWACTTCTTTTTAAGAAACTACCTTTTGAAATAAAACTACTTTGACAAGGTTTTTTTAATTTAATAGGAAATATCAAGCAATGTTATTTTATGTTTTGATAAATGGCAGAAATTGGCCACTACTGATGTTAATATGTGCATCCCTTCTATCTTAGGGGTCAGTAGCTGTGCTGTTTCTATTGGTACAAGGCATTGACTAATTTTCCCTTATCCTTAGGAGAGAGAAATGAAACACATACTAGATATTGGCAATAAAATTCAGGGTCTATGAGTAGAGTACTGGAAAAGACTTGAAGGGAACAAAATATGGGAGGAGAGGAGGGCAATGTATCCCAAAATTACTAGGAAAAAAAAAATCTATAATGGGCTCAGTTCACTTAAACTTGAACTTCAAAATCTTTCTCATACTAATAGAACATCAAACACTTTTGTAAATATAAATTTAGTCCTTGTATCAAGAGTCCACATGCCTGTTCCACCCAGGGCTGAGCTCCTCCCCTATATCCACAACCACAAAGATAAATTGAAAATATCTTTCAGTTACATTTAATATCTTATCAGTTACATTTTTGTCATTAAAAGGAAAAGTTAAGTCCAAGAATTGGATGAACTTGTTCCCYCCAAACATCCTTGAAGATTTTTTTTAAATCTCAAATCTGTATTTTGAGCAAGCCTGAAAATAAGTAAATATGTAAAGTAAATAAATAAAAATGATTTTTTATTAAGTACTGGCTGGGTTGGCATATGCTTGGGCTGAACCTAAACATTCTCTAARTGCAGATACCATGTCATTAAAAAGTCCCCTAAAACATTGAGGATGAATTGTGAGCTCCATCCTCACTCCATCTCATTCATACGCCTGATCAGATGTGAATGAATATGCATGAAATTTTGTGGTTTTAAAATATTATCTATTATATGTTAACAAAAATAATCATTGAGAGTTCTCTCAAAGCCAGATATTGGTATTTGTGGCCTCAGAGTTTTTAATTTAATTACTCTCCATTTTCAATACTTTGGTCTTCTACTTTCCTATTTACATCACAGCTTTTGCTCAGATGCATTGTAACACTTAAGGGCTAGTATTTGCTTTTAACATTTGTGCAGTACTACACAACTAAATACACACTTTTTGATCTTTGTGACTTTTTAATTAACTTATTCACTATTATAAGCAATTTTCAAAAATGTTTTAAATTTTATTTTCCTTTAGGATCCAGCTTTTACTTCTTTGTTAACTTCCCAAACACAAGTGCAAATGGAGATTGTAAATAAACACAATGAACTAAGGAAATCTGTCTCTCCCCGTGCCAGCAACATGTTAAAAATGGTAAGAAGCAGAAATGGTGTGAACGGGATGTGAAAGGAGCAGGCAGCTGGAAACAGGCATCTCTTTAAAACTTTGTGGTTTGCAACATTCTATTTTGCTGTTTATTTCAACTTTCATATGGGGAGGACAGTGTTTCTTATTTTTGTTTTGAAAGATGGTTTAATAACTTATCAAGTGGAAAGGCTCAATTAGAAGCCAAATCTTTGAGCATCCAGGATGAAGTCATCACATTTTTTTGTTCACTATCTTTCTAGTCTTAAGAAACTTTTGTTTCTTCAAAATCATTGTCATTATTAATATAAATGAAAGCTCCACATTCCAAGACTTGTCTCTAAAAGCCCAGTATCTCCCATCTGAAAGTGATAAGTTTCAAATGAAGCTGGGAATAATCTGGGCCAGCTTATTACTATTAAAATATAATTAGAATACTTCACATGTCTGTCAATATCTAAGAGTAGCATCATTACTAAAAATCAACAATGTGGATAGATAAACAATCAGATATTCTTATCTTAGGTATTTCTGTCCTTAGGCAAACAACCTATGGATTGCTCCTTGTGTGGAAGCRGGCATTGGTGCACATAAAGACATACTGAAAAATGAAGCCACCAAAAATGCATTTTAATAAGAATGATTATTAGATAATAATCCTACAGAAGTTTTAAATTATTGCTTATCAATATATCGATTATATGCTTCATTGTGGTTATATCATTAAGTGTATTTTTTTTTCTTTTGACATTTAGGAATGGAACAGAGAAGCAACACAAAATGCCCAAAAGTGGGCAAATAAGTGTACTTTGCAGCACAGTGGTCCAGAGGATCGACAAACCAGTATGTGGATGAGCAGATATTTGTTGAACAAATGAACAAATACAATGATAATAGATTTTTGTAGCCTATTTCATTAAGAAGAAATCGTGAATAAATGCTTCTTATGCTGCTTTTTAAACTCAAATGATCTGTATGTAAATAGAAGGATGATAATGAAAAGGACAATTTTGTGCACGTTTGTTATTTACATTATTCAAATAATTTCTCATATAGTATCATATTCATTCCTCTCCACCAGCTCATGAGTAACACAGTTCATGTATCTCTATTTTGCAGTGTAAAGATTAGAAAAGTTTTGGGAGGAAAATGATTTACCCAAGAACACACCAAAGTAGTATCATACTAGACATTTTCAGTCAAGTTTTCTGATTTCCAACAAAATTTCCTTTTTGACATTTTGAAATCTAATTTTTATACTCATAAAATATATTGAATTATGTTGAATTGTTCCTGAGTTTTACTGTATAAATAATGTACCCTTTTAAAATCATATTTTAAATGAYCATGTTCAGCATTCAACTAAAATTAATATTTTGAATATATTTATTTTCAAATTCTTTACATCAAGCAGCCAAGTATTTTGTAGGTACAAGGTGCTTACGATGCATAGAACACTGAACTCGAAAAGCAATAAGACACATATTGTCATGTATGTAAAAAATAAATAAATAAATAAGGTTATAAATACTATGAGAGAAAAAAAAACTTGTATGTATGGGCTTTGCATAAAATATTTACTTACTATCAAGAATCATATAGATAGGCAAGCCCAGTTTGAAAGCAGTTAATCATTAACCTGTTATTTTAATTGAACTATTATTATTTATTTAGTTTGATGCTATAATCATAATAAAATTATAGAAATGGTCATATTCAGTGTAAGACTAAAACAGTCTTGAAGATCCAAATGTACTGTTAAATTTTTACTTTCTTTCCTTCATTGTTAAAAAAGATAACCAAGAATATTTTATCTTATTTATAAGCAATATGTAGACATTATATATCAAGCCACTGAAAGGTGAATATTAATTGAGAGCTTGCAAAGTACAGGAAATATTTTTGGGCTACAAGACATGCCCAGAAATTTGGGTTTGTTACATTGTGTTTTCTGGTAAGGGAAGACTCATAGTTTTGAAAACTATCTTCCTGGGGTCAGTTGTCTCTCAATTGGTACTCTTAAAGACTGTCTAAAAAGCCTTTTTATTTTATTTTTTTCAAATTTGACACAAAATTATGAACATTTTTTGAGCATCCTATTTTTGAAAAATCTCTGGTGAGGGTAGTAAGAGCAGGAGAGAAATTGCAATTAGGTGTTGGTGGCTACCTGTAGCAAGGATGCAATACACACTGAAAGCAGTGAGGCACACACACACATACATGAAAACTCAGTGTATAAGTGATTGCATCCTAGATAATCCAGAGGGAGGAGGACTTTTAAAGAACAGGATCTTCTCAATCTACTAAAAAATTTGCAAGTTCTGGCCAGTCTCAATATTTAGGCAATTCTGTCTTCTAATCTTCTCTAAAGTTGATCTGGAGATAAGATAGCCTCCTCTCATCAGTCAGAAGCTAGCAACTATGAACCCTGTACTTGAAAGGCAGCATCTTTTCATTTGTGAGGTCAATTTCTTTTTTGAGTTTTATTGCCTTCCTCATATATGATCTGTTCCTTCCTAGCTACAAAATGTGGCGAGAATCTCTACATGTCAAGTGACCCTGCTCCCTGGTCAACGGCAATCCAAAGCTGGTATGATGAGAGCCGTGRATTTACCTATGGTAAAGGACCAAAGAATCCCCAGGCAATTGTTGGACATTACACTCAGGTAAGAGAAACAGTGAAATCCCTCTGCCACAAACATTATAACAGTTTGTGGAAACAGCTTGAGTAATCATAATAATCTTGGCATTTGACTGATAGTTCATTTAGATCTGCTGTTTTTATCCATGGTCCAAAAAATGTTTGGTAGGGAAAACATACACAGTATTGCTCCTATAATATAAATAGGTAAGCTTGTGAATGTACATAAAATGTTTGTATTTTTAAAGTGCATGACTTTGATTCAGTAAATTTAAATATTTTCATAAGATGTGGACCTAAACTTAACCACAGTAACATCATCAGTGTTATATTTGCTACTGTTTCTTTTTTTAATATTTTCTACTTTTGTAACATGTACCCCGATATGCTCATTCTCTTATGGATTTGTAGCTTGTTTGGTATTCATCCTTCCGCGTTGGATGTGGAGTTGCCTACTGTCCCAATCAAGACAGTCTAAAATACTTCTATGTTTGCCAGTACTGTCCTGCGTAAGTGTTCACATTAGAGTTTAATGCCAATAATTGTATCTGCAAYATAATATTTTAAAATTTTCATATATTCATCAATAGGAAAAGAATAACTCAATAAAGGTGTGATACATTTCTGGAAATAATGTTTAAGATTGAGACACCTTTAATTTCTCAGAGAAGATACCAAGTTCTCAGTCACAAATAAATGATGCTCTCATTCCTCATTTATAAAATGATGTAATTTCTTTAATTATCTTTCCTGAGGGTTAGGGTTATTCAATGAGCATGTGTGATCCCTCTCTAGACTWTGTATCATCAATTTGCTAACTTCACACTCTGAATCTCTAGAAGCTTAATGATTAAACAAGGGGTGCTGGTAGGATTGCAAATAGGGGTTAATATATTGCAATTTTAGTCCTTTCTTCAAATAGTCCTGCTCATGTTTATCTAAACAACATATTGTTACCATCACAAATGAGTCATCTTCGAGAGTCTCAAAGACTTCTCAGGAGAACTTTACTATTTCAGAACCCAGAAAAAGATAAATCTTGACTCTTTTATTTTCCCAGAATTTACCTAAGAAACTCCATAACTATCTTGTGTCTTGATTTGTAGCCAGAATCATGCCCCCTTTTTCAAACAGTATGTGCAAAGTTATCCTCAAAAATAAATTCATAATGAAGATATATTCATGATATATGTGAGTTTTAATTTTTAAAAATTTGAAATTCTTTATTACTGGAGGGAGGGGAACCCCAACCCCAAATATGCTATATAGGACTTGTGTAGAGACAGATAATCCAGGTGATGGAAGGGTTCATTTGAGATGAACCATAAAGTTGTGTTTCTGCAAGCACCTGTTAGGGTTTAGTGGAGAGAACTAAAAGGCCCTAGGAGAGTGCATCTAAACTCACAGCCTGGYCCTCAAAAGAGGACACTGAAGCCAGGCTTAGGAATTGAGAGTTGGAATGAGTGATGAGAGGAAGTAGGGGAAAGAACTCCCAGAACACTTTTCTACTTGATGATTTTTCCCAGGGTTCACACACATACAGCTCTGCTCTATGTACGGGAACACTCAGATACATTGCCTTGGGCCCTCTCCCCACTTGGCTTCATTGAGATTTGGATTCCTATATAATTTCAAATTAATTAAGTAGTCCAAAAGATAATTAACCCATGGGTTAATCAGTGTGAGATCATCAGGTGCTGGGTATTATTGTTCATCAAAACTTTTCTTAACCAGCATTCTTTTTTTAAAAWTTTTTTAGAACATAGATATCTCACACATGCCAAGTCTAGAAACTGACAGAATTTCCTTCAGCACGTGGTCCCAACAACACACAACTCATTAGTTGAAAATCACTACCTTTATGAAGGGTCAAAAATATTCTGAAGCTTTATTTTTCTGTATTAGATAAATTAAGGTGCTTTTCATTCTTCAAATATAAAACGATATGGTAATGCTGAACCATTCTTCTCTTTATTGTAACCCCCTACCTCCAAAATCTTTCTCTCTAGGGAATATGCTTTGCCCCTAACCAGCACTTAGGGTGCATTGCCTTAGCAACTTGGTTGCATTTATTTGGAGATAAAGAAGCTGTTAACTGCTTATAATATTCTCCATATTCTATATGCTAGTTCTTAATTGAATGGCTCAACCTGTGAAATTATGGTTAAAGAGATAGGCCAATGTGTGAAGAAAACATTTTCTTAATTCTTATTTCCTTCTAACATACTGCTTTGGGAGTTATGTTTTTTCAGTTTTGTTGACATCACTAAAAACAGTGAATTAGCTATTTGGCAGCTGATACATTAGAGTATGATCCAAAGAGCAAATTAAAGATATTTGACACTGTGTATTTCACATTTCAGTGGTAATAATGTGAGTAAAAAGAATAACCCTTACCAACAAGGAACACCTTGTGCGAGTTGCCCTAATAACTGTGAAAATGGACTATGCAGTAAGTTTGRATTATTAACTTCCTACTGTAAGAGAATTGATGTTTTCCTTTCTTTTAATGAATTAAGAAATCTCCTAAACCAATTAAATAACATATTAAAACAAAAGCCAGAAAGATACTAAACAGTGTGTCTAAATAAACTTACAATTCAGTAACTAATATTTTAATTATAATGAAAACACATTATCAAATATGACATATGTGTAATCTACCATCAGTGATTGTGCTGTAGATTTGATTAATATTAAATATAAACTTCTGACAAATAGTTTGTTTTATTGAAGCTAATATCACTATGCCAAGTTATTTTTTWAATATTTTTTAGTTTTAGGTAGACACAATCTCTTTATTTTATTTTTATGTGGTACTGAGGATCGAACCAAGTGCCTCACACATGCTAGGCRAGCCCTCTTCCACTTGAGCCATAACCACAGCCCCGCCAAGTTAATTTTTAAAAATTCAAAGGACTATATCTAAAGGGAATTAAGATTTTATTATGACTCAGTCTAGACCAGTATGCCAAACACTACTCTTTTGTACCAATGAGTTCATTGTGTGAATTTCCTCACTTCTTTTCTACAGTACACAGTGTTTACCCTAATAAATGATGAAATGCTCTCTAATCTAATAATAGTTTAGACATATTATTAATGACAAAATCAAATCTGTATACAATATTCACTCACAGAGCAAACATACTGTTGCAAATTAAAAGAATAAAACAAATGTCATATACAACAATTTTAATTGTCATAATTACAAGTAAAAACTGCTGACCTTCTATAGTTGGGATACTTTCATGAAAATTATTAATAATAGAATCAACCCACTTACTGAGGTTTTTACCTTTCAAATGCATTCACCTTTACTTAGCATTCTTTCTGATTCAATTATGTAGTTATAATTCACAATATTGATGATATCAAGGCTATAAATCCACTAAGGAGGGAAAATGTTGAATACTCATACCTCTCCTAAATGCTTTTTGATGYAATGAGCACTCAATAGAAAGATTTTAAACAAATAGTGAAAAAAATGATAATTGTGTTTCATAGAGAGCTTTTTGGCAATAATATGCACAACTGTTGAAGTGGAAGCCAGTTAGGATACTGTGGGAAAACATGGATTTAAAAACCGTGGGTGTCATCATAGCAGTACTGGCAAAATAAACGATAAACAAGACAGTATTTGTAATCTGTGCTGCTGGAGTGCTTGTCAAAAGGAGAAAGGAAGGAGTTTGAAATGGATCCACCTGCTGGCTTAAAGTACTGTGTGGCCAGAGTGTCATTTCACTGAGACTGCAGGAAAAGTCCAAGAATCCTCAGCCTGTTGTGATGAGTTTATTTTGAGTTTGTTGAGCCATGGGGTCTTTGGAAACATTTAATCAAAATCTTCAGAAGAACAAAGTGCATATTGTCCTTGTTTTATTCTGTGGCCACTCATAAAGATTATTTGTACCCAAAAGCTGGCACTGGAGTAAGACATGCCCATCCAATAATGTGAGATAATAAAAATGCTCTTGTAACTTGTATAGCTTTCGACACTAGTCCCATGTAGCCTCTGAACACTTTAAAATAGGTCTGRTAAAAGTACAAAACTAAATTTTTAATTTATTATAAAGTTGAATAGCTACATGTAGCTAGTGATTCCCATATTGGATTCTGGGGTGAGAAAATATATTTGCATTTATTTTATTCTATCTGCTAAGGGAAAGTGGCAGGTCAATACTTTTAGAAATATATCACTGGCTGAGTATGGTCAGCACACCTGTAATCCTAGCAGCTCATGAGGCTGAGGCAGGAAGGGTACGAGTTCAAAGCCAGCCTCAGCAACTTAGGGAGGCCCCAAGGAAATTAGTGAGACTTTATCTCTAAAGGAAAACTAAAAAGGGCTGGGGATATGGCTTAGTGGTTAAGCATCACTAGGTTCAATCCTTGGTACCAAAGAAAGAAAGAAAGAGGGCTAGGGTTGTGGCCGGCTCGGTGGTAGAGTGCTTGCCCAGCATGTGAGGCACTGGGTTTGATTCTCAGCACCACTTATAAATAAAATAAAAGTCCCATTAACAACAAAAAAATTTTTAAAAGACAAAGAATGGAAGGAAAGAAAGGAGGGAGGAAGGGAGGGAGGAAGAAAAGAAAAAGAAATAGATCACTGAATTAAAAGTAATGGATTAGTCAGTGAGCCCAACTAAGACATGTTATGTGTCCCTCAAGACATGAAGTATAAGTGATGCTAATCTGTTGCTCACTCTTCCCTCCTCCTTCATACACTTTGAATGTATGAATTGTYTTGCTGATACAGTGGAAAATGACAGTAAGGTGATTTAAATCTGTTTTTGTTACAGCCAATAGTTGTGAGTTTGAAGATCTCCTTAGTAACTGTGAGTCCTTGAAGAGCACAGCTGGCTGTGATCATGAACTACTCAAGGAAAAGTGCAAGGCTACTTGCCAATGTGAAAACAAAATTTACTAAAATGCCTAGTGTACATCAGGCAGGATTATATGCAATGGCTTCATCATTTAGCAGAGACATTGGAGGCATACTAGTTAGCAATTTGATCCCAAATGGCAATGTTTTGTTCTCCTGGATCTTTACAGAAATATCTGTCTCCTACAGCAATTTACAAAAGTAGCATCAGCCACAATAACAGCTTTGGACTTAGATATCAATTTGCAGCTTTAAGAATTTTGAAGGTTGTATAACCACAGAACTTTGGTCATAGAACTTCACCCAAAAAGGAGAACTACTTGTCTCCTAAAACAACATAATAAAAAAGAGAAAGACTGGACATCTTTGCCATCCCTACTACAAGATATTTTACCTGCATAAATAATAAATTCAAAGCTTGAAATCTACATTTGTCCTTGGCCTTTCTTTTAAACAAAAGTAATCAGCTTTTTAAATAAAAAGCTTATCTAAAGAACTACATGGATGGGATTCTCATGCAATACTTCTATGGTATTCATAATCAACCCCAGGTAACTAAGCCCAGATAGATGATTATTCACAGAAAATTCTCCAAAATAGTTGCCTGTAAAATTAAATTTTAACWAAAAAGGAACATCAGTTCTGTTCTTACTTTTTCATTTTTGTGTTTACATATTCTTCTTACAAGGACATAATCCAACAGAATATACAAATATAGCCTTCCAGTAAAATAAATATGGTAATTAATACCTCAGGGAGATTAATTATGTCTTTATATAATTTTTTATATAATTTAAGTCTTTATATAATTTTTTATATTGCTAACAACAGGTTAAAGTCAGCCCATTTATAGTTGAGAAACTAAAAATTTAAAAACGAAGTTATGGAAGGTAGTCAGAAAGTAAGTCTGGCCAGGCAAGTGGTTAAATACCTTAAGTCATATTTCTAAAGCCTTCATTTTTTTTTAGGCCCAGATGGTTTCACACTGAATTCTGCCAAACACTTTTTTAAAAAATACCAATTTTACATGATCTGTTCCAGAAAATTGAATGAAAAGAAATTCTTCAATATATATTATTTAAGGTTAGTGTTATCCTAATACTAAAAGACAATTCAGGAAGAAAAAAGATATAGACCTATAGCTGTTATTTACATACAAGGAAAAATTCTAAATAAACCTTAAATAAATTGATCCAGCATCACAGCAAAAGGAGAATACACTCCAACTGAAATTTTGAACAAGTTACTAGAATAAACAAATTAAATGTCTGGAAGATATGTCACCTGTCATGGAACACATTCATTGTATATATAGTTACCCGTGAACTTTATTGGAAATTCTTCCATAAAAATAGCATTTCTTCATTCTAATCTTAATAGTAGCTCAATTTCTCATAAAGTGTGATTTGAAATATTTAAATCTATTTCAGGGAAGTAAATGTAATATTTTATTTTCATAACTGCAAGATCACARAGATGCAGTGACAATGTGTAAGAGAAGCACAGAATTTTCCATTTGAATGTTTTCTGGTATAAAGTCCATTCAATTTTTTGATGGGCCATTTGAAAGGATTTAAATGAAGAGCCATCTTTAGGTTGTTTAAGATTAAAGTTACCTTTGAGTAGAAGATCTGGTCCATGTTTTGAATATTTGGAAAACCTTTGCTATTCTATGGCTTTTTAAAATTATATCTAGTTCTAATGTGGCTAGTGAAGAAATCTACCATATAAAAACTGCATGGGAATCTTTGAAATGTAATTGCTAATTAACAATCACTCAAAACACACTGAAGTCTTTTTCAGAAATGTGCTTTATCATACAAGTTGATTTGTATGATAAAGCTTACCTCATTCTATGATAATTGAAGTAAGTTCTGAGATAATGTATAACATTCCATTTTTTTTCTAATTTTGATGAAGATGATGATGATCTTATTTTACTTCTTTAAGCAYGTAAAATTTTCAAACTTTCTAAACTGAATATCTTCAGAAAGAACTTATGGCCAGCATCAAAGTCTGTAATTGCACACAACTCCAAATATCCACACATGCTTAATGTTACAGGCTTTGCTAAATCCCTCTTCAGAGTTAGCRTTCCCAGTGGACATTGTGGCACCACTATTGACAGGCACAGCCATCAGGCTACTCCTCTATTTCATCCCCCCTTGATTGATCACATGTTTCCTTCCACATTCATGCACTCATAATTCATTTACTTCTGGCATTTGATTGCTCCTCAGAATGTTCATCTCCATACTTCCTTGCTTTTGTTTATATTGGATTTTCAAATTCAAGTCTGATTAGAATCTCTGTATCTCAGTCCAATGTGTCATGGCCTGACTCCTCTCTCTTGCATCACAAGAGAAATGTGTTAATTTCTTCTCAGGACAGACTATTTAATATGGAGTTCAGCCAGGCAAGAATCATGCCTGCTGAGCCCTGTGGTTTGCAGAGAATGAACTGTGCTGTGTGCATGAAGTACGACATCATTCCCTATTCACTGCAGGAATGCAGAGGTCTTCATCCACCAACCCTGCTCTCAGTCAGGCATTTATTTGGTGGGAGATGAGACAACTAGGAATATGGATGAAAAACAACTTCTTTCATAGACAAATCAATTTTGGGAAATAAAAAAAATTCATGACTGTGTTTCCAGATGCAAATTATCTTTAAATTATTAACTGATACTCATTAATCCCAAAAAAGCAGTACAAAATTTTAAAGAGGAGAAGGTCCCGTTTAAATAGCTGAAAACTTTTGTGTGCTTATTTTGTCTTCCAAAATACCTTCACACWGTCCACTGACTTGCTTTGGCTTTATCTAGGAGAAGAGGAAGAATTTATTACCTTTTAATTAATAAAGGAAGAATTTTGACTAGAAGTTATATTAACCCATGCTATTTGAGAATATATGTCTTTTCATTTATTCAGAGTATATATGTTTTTATATATTTGATAATAATTTTTTGTTTCTTCATACAGGTTTTATTCTTTTTAAATAAAATTTATTCTTAAAAATGTACAAATTTCATAGTTATAGTTATGAGGGTACATTACAATGATTAAAAGGTGATTTCTATTATTTTTAAAAAATTATTTTTATGCCAATCTGGTATTCAGTCATCACATTAAACTCTACAGTTTAGTTATATTTTGAATTATTTAGATAGTCCTACTTAATATTGTTTGATACATAGTAAGTGATTAATAAGCAATGTCATTATCTATTGCATAGCTACAATTTTTCTATCTAGGACTGTACTATATACTAATAAAATAGATGATTGATTGAGGCTTTGCTGATAGCATTAAGAATTTATATGAAAAATAATAAATACATAAGTAATTGTGACCCAATATAATAAATACCATAGTATAAGTGCACAGTAATTATAGTGGTAATCAAGAACTGGGATRTATAAGTATTTGTAATATAATTGAAAATTCAGAAACAGGGTTTTAAAACCATGTTTTAGGAATAGAAAYTTCAGTTAATTAGAAATTCACAGTTTAGGATATATAACCATTGTTTTTGGAAAGCAAAACTATAAAGAAAATTACTATCAATATTTTAATTACCAATGCCAAGAGATTTTGTTAATAAAATAGTGAAATTCAAAGATAGTACATGATAGGACATAATGGCTAAATGTATTTTCCTAACAGAAAAAAAATATTTTAACAAGAACCTCATGTGAATTCCTTTTCATTTTAATGATATCACTTGTTTCTATGATAGAATTTCTAAGCTAGTAGTGGTAATAACTTTGTGARTCTGATCACAACATCCACTAAACATGCCAACCTATTAACAACATCTCTTCTCAAAGTCCTTATGTTAAAACCTTCTAGTATTAATAGGAGTTTTGTATAATATAAAAGCAAATTCATTTTTCTAAATACTGGGAAAATGGAATCCTGTTCAAGTTTTTCCCCACTTATTAATATGTGAGCCACTTAATTTTCTGGGACCATAATTACATCACTTATTTATTTATTCAGTTTGTTTTCATTGCTTATTTTATTTTGCATAGATGGTAATGCCAATAAATGAATCTTAAGAAATTTATTATTTTCTTTTTTATTTGTTGTTTAAGGAAAATATAGAAAAGATAAGGTTAGCAATGTTGTTAAACACTTATTATATATGAGTCTCTCAGTCTTCATATATATTAATTACTTTTTTCTTATTATATATTTTAAAATTTTACGAAGTTTGGAATCACATCTAAATAAATATTACAAATACTTAAAAGTTTTAAATGTAGGAGTCAGACCATTTATAATCTTCTTAGAAAGATAATAAATTAATGTTACTTCCTTCAAATATCCTTTTCTCACCCCAATTAGAGCTTTATAGTTATATATATAGTAGTTGGGTTCATCCTGACAAAATCATACACACATGGAATTTGATTTCAGTCATATCCCCATTTCCCTTCCTGTTTTCCCTCCTGCCCTCCTCTTCTCCCCTGTTTGCCTTTCTTTACCCTGCTAGACTTCCTTTCATTCATCTATTTATATTTRATCAGTTCTTTTTACTTATACATAATAAAGGTGAAATTCTCTGTGGTATATTTATATGAGCACATAACATGACTTTTTAAGAATTCATTTTGAATTGCCTTCCTTTTTCCCATCCCTTCACTCTGCTTCTTGATCTCCTTCTTCTACACTACTGATCTTCCCTCTACATTTATGGTGTTTTATTCTTTTATCCTCCTCTCCTTTATTTTATTCTGGATTCCACGTGAGAGAAAACATTCAACCTTTGAGTTTCTGCTTCTGGCTTATTTTACTTAGCATAATATTCACCATTTCCATATATTTACCAGGAAATGTGATAATTTCATTCTTCTTTATGGCTGAGGAGAACTCTATTGTGTATATATACCACAATTTCTTRGTCCATTCATCTATTGACAGGCATTTGAGTTGATTCCATAATTTAGCTAGTGTGATTTGTGCTCACTGCTTCAAGACATGAAATTAAGAATTAATGATAAAGGTTCAATTCCCCAATACCCCATCCCCCCAAAAGGGGAA